CCCAAACCATTCTGTGATTCCAAGACATTAAGTAGAGGGAGTCTCAGTCAGAACAGGAGAAAGGGTGGATCTGCCAGCTAGTCTCAACATCCACACACAGCTAGATTCACCCCTGGATACATCTTACCTTTTCAGAACATCCCCTGCTGATTCACATGTTGGGCCACAACAGCGGAACACAGGCAATTTAAGAATGCAAAAGCACGAGAGCAGTGGCAGTTGCTGACACCTTCAGTGCTGTCCAGTGGTTCCAAAGGGACACAGTGGCTCCCTGAGAATCATTTTCGGGGTATCTCCAGGGTGAGGTTGTGAGCAAGCGCAAATGCCCTGGGAATTCTGCTCTGATATATCCAGAGACTTAAGCCCAACAGCTATTGCTCAGGTCCTGTGGCTGCCTGTGGCTTAACAGTGATGAGTATTTGGGATCTTTCCAAGGGTACGCGCAAAGGCTCTGTGCCGCTGCCCTTTTGCTGCTGCACATACCTGCAGTGCACGATAGTTGGTCCTGTGTCTGGGGTCCTGTTGATATAATCCCTTACAGTTCTGACAAACTGGATCAGGGACTGGGTGGTCTCTGGCACACCATGATCTGGCCAGACAGTGTAGTGGAAGTGACGAATAAGCCTCGTTGAGTCAAGCTGCTCTTCCTGTCAGGACGCAAAAGTGTGGGTCATCAGAACAGATGAGAGAGGAGGGGACACACACAACATGCACCTTCAGAGCAAATGCTACAGCTGTCACCAGAGATGAACTGGGCATAAAGCAACTGTGCTACAGCAAAAGAAACCTTCCTAATTTAGCCTTGCAGTTGTTTTTAAGCCAATTAATTAAAAAAAAAAAAAAGAAAAAAAAGAACACAAACATACACTGCAGATTTTAAACTCTCGTATTGTCCATTCTGGGAGCACCGATTCAGACAGCATCTCAACAATCAGGTCTCCATAGTACAAGGAATCCCGGTCAAGAGGCCAGTAGTGATCACACTTCACCTGCAGGGAACAGAAAAAGATAGATTTAGTGTCATTAACAGCTGTAAACAAGGCCTCCTGGCAGAAGGAGACTTCAGACCTCCTGTGCCTGAGCACGAAGGAAGAACAGCAGCAGCTGAACTCAGGGAGAGGCGCTACCCCCTGCCATATCAGCTCAACAAACGGGGTCTGGGATGGGAACAAGCTAGGATGGGCTGGGAAGTGGAAATTCTCATCACAGATGGGATGCGGAATGGGAAGCACTTCATTGATGCCCTCTTCTGGATGCCACAACATTTTCTGCACCAACTCTTCTCATAGCTCTGCTTGGATGAGAGCTAGGCCTCCAGTGCTCACTTCCCGACCTCTTGCTGAGACATGACAGTTGGGTCCCACTCAGAGCCAGTGAGATGCAGGAGGAGACAGGTGGCTGCCTGTCCTGCACCTGCTTTTGCCATCTCCTCAAGAAAAAATGGTAAACCAAAAGGAAATATCCGCATATTTGCCACTAGATGATCACTGCTTCAAGCTGGTTTAAAGTTTTTACAGACCTGGTCCCTGTCTTACAAAGGGTGCAGGATGTGGTCATACTTGGATTGCTGAGACAACTAAATATCCTACCTACACCTGCATTCAGTAAGGCTGTTAAGCACATGAGTAGTCTCTTTGCTTACTACATCAGGGCTTAAGCATTAGAGAGAATTCCATGTATTTAATGATTAATAGTTGCTCTCTAGAGCTTATATTTAACGTAGTAGTTGATTGTGATAAACAGACATTTTTTGCTGGTGGTTATCCTTCTGCATGTTCAGGGGGATTATATCAGTACTAGTGAGCAAAGTGCTGGATTAAAGACCAGAAGCACTGAGCTCTGTTCCTAACTCTTGCCTTGACACGCTGCATGATCTTGGGGTGGTCACTGTATCCTCACTTCACAGCCTTAATCTGCCTCCAGTCTTTAGATTATCCCTCACATCTCTTACTGCATATCTCCTTGACTGGGGCTTCTGGCATTAGTGTGATGCAAATAATAAGCATAAATTTTTCATAGATGTTAAAACAGTTATTAAAAATAAAGAAGAGTCACTGCTCACCCGGCCCTTCTCAACACACTGGGTTACCATGACAATATTGTGAACATTTTGCTCCCATGCCATCTTCCAGAACTCATCTTTCGTGCCAGGCAAAGGGCCCTGAGTCGCTATGTATTCCCTGCGGAAATTATTGCCCTGCAAGTAAAGAGAACTCCATTAGTCACCATAAAGGCAGAAAAAAACCCTTGTAGCAACTGAACAAGCCATGGAGTTGCAGCCAGGGCTCTGCAGTAACAATGCCCTTGCTGGGACAATTGTTTTGTGAGCTAAATTGTTGCTTTGGACCTGGAAGCAGAAGGCTGGTTGGAGCAGAAAGAAGGAAGAGACCGAGGCAGCGTATCTAAATACTGTTCCTTTTGTGGCAGTCAAAGCTTTTCATTGTTCTATTGTGTTCAGAACAGTCTCAAGCAGCTTTGTAACTACTCAAAGTTTTTGCTTTATTTACTGTTTTTAACAAATTAGCTGAGTTCTGGCTTGAAATCTTGATTGCTAAAGCCACTGCTATTATCAATCACAAGTCTCTGGCAAAGGGCATTGTCTTAATCTCAGCCAGTTTCACCATCCTGCAAGGTGCCAACACTGTCAGGATGAGCTACAGCTCTACAATGACAATGCCACCTGCAGTGATAGCTACAGTTGTTGTGGACACTGTATAAAATCAGTGACCTTTAAAAATGTGTCCTTCGGCAATTAGACCTGCTGTCTTACGTAACTATAGCAATCCAAGAAAGTGTCCTTAAGTGCTGGGTAAATCACTCACAGTTAACTTAATAGCAGTCAGACACAGCCTCTCAGCACACCCACAAAATGAGTTCTCAGACTTTCAGCTCAAGAGAATAAATGAAATGGGAGGGGAGCCTTAAGCATCCAGCTTTATACTCAGTTTTAGATGAAGGACAAATTACCACTGGAGACATGACTGTAAAATACAATTCTTGAGTCACTTACTGGGATGTAGCTTGCATTAATGTAGTCTGAGCAAGGATCATCATCCACATTGGAAAGCTTCACTCTTGATGTATCATCTAGGAAGAAATTGATTAGAAGAAGCTGATGGCTAGGTCTTGATTTTCAGTCCCTCTCTCATTTACAGAAATGCATTTGCAAAATGACTGGCAGTATTATTACAAGGACTTTATATGGAGGGCTAATTTAGAGGGGTAACTGTTTGGATTTGTACTGCCTCTTTCATCCACTGTGGAGTGTTCCAAAGACTAGTGGATGGGTGAGAAGGAAATAGTGAATATCCTAGAATTCCTCTACTGTGTTGTATAGGATTTGTTATGGCAACAGAAGAGCCACAACAGCATCCTCCTTTGCTCCTGACAGCAGTGTGCTGTACTGGAGCAGTGCCAGTGCTGCCCTTGAAAGAGCAGCAGTGCTTCAGTGGTCTGCACAGCTCCCCAGCTAATGTGTGAGCAGGCCAACTGTCCTCCCTAGGTAGAGAACCCTCTGGAGAGAGGTACAGAGAGCCTAAGCCACCAGGTCACTAATTCATGAGATAATGCCATGCTGGATCTCAGTCAGGTGTTGTTTCTTGTACATGGCAGGCAGAACAGAGGAGATGCTGTGAGGCTGTGTTCCAAGCAATACCACACCCAGCAGCTCCGCAGCATCTGGAGCAGTGAGTCATGTGGTGTTCCTTCTCAATGCACAGCATGTGTTACCTCCAAAACTGCCACACAGGAGATTAGAGGGGGATACTCTCAATGACAGGTCTTGCCTCAGAAGAACAGGGCTAACCTTATATGTGTGTCTTACCACGCAGAAGCTAACTAGCTCTGCACTGTATAGTAGGTTTGTTGTGTCCTCTGAAGATGAAAGAATTGGCAAGGCTGTCAAAAAGCACTGAATGGATGATACTTGGTATGTAAACAACCCTACTGTTATTTCTACTGTCCTTATTATCAGCGACTGAATGCCCTGAGTAGCTGGAGCTTTTTCTTTCTAGACTGAATGCTACTTGTCATTACAGTTCTAGTGCACAATGAAATCACAAGGCCATACATCATCTGCCTCCAAGCACCAGAACCTGAGCTGGTAGAGGTATTTCATCTCTCACAGGAAGGAGAGAAGAGATTGGCTGCAGTCTCTTTTCCACTTGGCTTGCTGAAAAAAGTGAAAAATAGTTGCTGTGATGTCATATTACACAACCAAACCTAAAACTCACAGGGCAATATATTATTGTATCGGTTTTTCCCTCTGTTCTCTGGCAGAAGCGCTATGTCACATGTCTGGTTTCGACCCACATCTTTCAGGTCCTGAAAAAAAAAGTAGGAATAAAATGTGAGGTGAAAATAATTAAAGGACATGACAACACAGGGGGACACAGTGCTTATCAGTTCTCAAAGGTCATGGACAGAGAATGGATGTTTTTTTAAGAAAAACAAACTGAAATTAAATCACTAATCATACTGGTTTAAAGCAAGCACATGGCTGGCAGGTGCTTTCCATGCTTTATCACAAACATGTGCCACACAAATGAATGCTCCTGACCTCAGACAGATAGGTACCAGGCAGAGGCTGCCAACCAGAAGATGCTATGTCAAACACAGAGCTGTTTCCTCCACTAGGACAAGTGGAGCTCAGGTGAGACTCTCAAACTTATTTGGATTTGTGTGATTAAGACCAAAAAAATGCAGGCCTTTTGAATGCATTAACCCATTGATTCAGCCAGCCCGCCCCTCCATAAAGCAAGTCCTTTGCTTAGGTTAGGATCCCACCTCATACTCCTTGGACAGGAGGTAGTTGGAGTCTGCTTGAAGTTTGGTGAAGTGCGCTTCAAAATGACTGACCTTGATCGGACTAAAATATTCAACAGGAGGAAGAAAATCACAGGATGAATCACAGTCATAATTTATCCAGTTGGTTATCAAGAAGCTTTTTTAGGTATTAATTTTTTCTTTTTACCTGGAAGTTTTCCGGTTCCTAGAAATGATTTCAAAAGAAAAAGAAACACTTCATCAGTGAGTGACCAGATGGGACTGTTCATCCATGATGCCATGTTAAAATACTGTTCTTAGAAACAAAACTTTTGATGTTACCCTTTTTGCCCCAAGTTCAGATGGACTGACAGTGGCCTGTCCCTGCGAATGCTCAGCCTTGCTGTAGTTCTCTCGTGGCCATTGCTGGAATAAAAAGGAAAGTATTTTGCTTTACTGTTATGTTCTGATACTGGTAAGAACTATCAATAACATAATTTACATTGTAAAAAAGTTGGTAAGTTGGAAAAAAGGAATTTAAGAAAGTCTGTTTTGATTTGTGTCTCTGATCACGTGACATTGCTCTTAGCTGTGGCACAGAGTTTTCTTGTATTTTAGTTTGGTAATAATGATGTGGAGTGTAGGCATGTGCGTGGGCAATAAGACTTTTTTCTTTCCCTGAAACACCCACAGCCCAGCCTATAATGATAGGCTGTGGACAGCACCCCATGCTAAGACAGGCCCTAAATCAGTTGATTCTCTACATGCAGAGAGGAACATGTAGGTAGACTTTCAGAGCTGCAACAGGTCTGCAACTTCCAGCACATCCACTCTGCAGACCAGGCCTCTAGGAGACGCCTAGGTTCATGGCAGGAGAAAGTGGCAGCACCACAACAGGCTTTGGGAAAGCCACCAAAGTGGTACTGACTCCATATGGTTAGTGTTGCCTTTCATCCTGTCAGTGCTGTCTCCTCCTTCAACACAGCCCCCTTAGAGAATACTTTATGTATGATGAGGGGAAATCATACCAGTATACTTGCAGTCCTGCTCGCTATGTAACTCACAAGAAGAAACCACACTCTGTCTGAAGTTTATCTACACTAGAAAAATACAGTGAGGTGTGCAAGGTGGAAAATACATCGATCTGTACTCTACTCATGCTCTATATGTCACTATGTACTGAGATGGTAAGGAGTGCACAAGCCTATACATGCAAAAGCAGACTTTATTTAATATTGCTAATGATTTATGCCTCTTTTTTTTTTTAATGAAATATATAGGAATACACTGAATTTGTTCAGAGAGCCTAAGAATAGCATTGCTAAAGGGTAAATCCGTTCCAGCTAAAAGCTACTAGTCAGAAAACAGGTTTTTTTCAATGTGAAATTCTGGCATCTGAAAAGCAATTTCAAAGCAAAAGAGACCTTTTATCAGTAAAAGAACTGAATTTCAGATTTTCAGAGTTTCCTATGTAACGGAAATGTTGCTTTTTTAAAAATTTCAGAAACCACAAGGAATTTCACATCAATAATGTCATATCTCTTTCATTCATAGAAAATGGTTTAAATGAATAAATCTTTTTTCAAAGTGGAGACAGAATATTTCACTTTTTAAAAACCTCAAATTCACTGTTTAGATTCACCTATAATGTGAAATCGACAACTATAATTGACAAAAAAAATGAGAAGTAAGTTTTGAACTGATCTTTTGGATGCTGAGGTAATGCCACACCGTAAGATTTTTGAACCGAAATGATTAAGTCTAAATAAACATTTTCAAGAGCTTCCCACCTACAATGCAGACAAAGTTAATTTGAAACATTTAAATTTTGACAAGACATGCAGTTTGAATGATAAACTATTTTTTCCAAAATATTCAGACTCCTACTGAAAACTAAAAGTTACAAGGATCCTCTGTGAGATAACTCTAACATAAGTAGGTATTTAAATCAATAATATACAGATCTCTTAATAAGCAAGTTTTTAGTTCTATACTTAGTTTGTGCAGATGTTGGGGGATGTAGATTTTATCTGCTGAATAGTTCAGTGCATTCTTCCAGTTTTACAGTTACCCTTTAAATACTGTATTGCTTAAATGCATATAATTTGACCTGACTAACAGAGACTGATAAAGGAAGTCAACTTACCCAACTTTTTGTCTGCAGACAAATAAAGCAGTAACAGCCACTAACATCACAATGAGAAACAAGCCAGCACTCACACCTTCAATAACTCCAAACAGAGGCTCTAGAAACAAAACAGTGTATTTATGTACCTTGAGGAAAAGATATGAAGAATCAAAGAATCAATAACTTTCAGGGGATATGTTATTATCAGCTAAAGAAAATGGTTAAATACATGGAAATGCAAGGCATTTAAACACCTAGCTAAAACCTGGCCTTGATTTTTTGTCCTTATTGCTTCCAATTGTTACACAAAATCTTTCACTCCCAACCAGAGTAAAAGAAAGCACAGCCCCACTATATCAGAGTTTGGTTCTCTTGCACTTTGAAGCTTTTTTGGAGAGCTGAGCATTCACCCTTTCCTCTACCGTCAGCAGCTCCATCAAGCTGAATTTTCAAACTAAGGCTGGATAAGCCATGGGTCCAGCCTCACATCAGAGCAGCCTTCAGGACACGCCCAGCAATCAGGTTTTGTTCCACTCCTTGCAAACAGATCTAGATATCGGTGTTCTGAGGCACAATATATAATCACATGCTAGAGTCATTGAAAAACAAGCCTGAAACTAACCTGCCTCTGTAGTGATTGGTAAAGAGAAGAAGGTGTCTGCAAAGAGTGGTTTAGGGAGTTCCTTCGGGTCTTCACTGAAGAGCTGGGTAAAAGCCCGTATGCTGATCCTAAAAAAAAAGAGCATCGTTACAGTTAGGGCCCATCAGATGTTCAGAACCTACAGCAGAAAAGTAAGGACTTATCTGCCCCTTAGAGATAACTAACAACTTTCCGCTGACCACAGACAGTTCTTAAGGCAGGCACCTGAGTTAAATACTACAGCTGGGAGAGCTCAGCTGGTACAGGGGGAATGCTCTGAGGAACTCTGGTAAAGGAAACAGGTGGGGCTCTGGCTGCTGGCACACACAGCCTGGCCATGCCTGAAGGCAGGACTAGCAGAAGCTGCAGTGGGGAGAGGACTCAGAAATGCTTCTCAGTGGGGACATGTCTTCCCTTCACATGGCTGGGCAAGGCTGTGCTAATGGAGAAATGTTACTGGTTCTCCCAGTAATGTGGGTATTCCCAGACTAGATTTTTGGGAAATGTGCCCTAATGAGAGCTGACTGTATTAGGGTAGCACTGTCCAGGTGATGAAGAAGAAGCTGAGAGGCATGATGTGTGCAGCTCGGCACATGCCTTTTGTCCAGGTGGCCGTCCAGTGAGCAGCTTGCAGACCTCTTGGGAGAGTGCTTGCCTGTGGGAGGGGCAGGACTGAGCTGCACCTGCTGAGCCTGGTGTAACTGCTGAGCCTGATCTTGGCGGTTGCCCTCTTCTACACCCTACGGCTAACCTGGGCCTAGGTCTGGAGCCTGGGGATGCTGCCACAGGTTAGAATAACCTCCAGGTTCTTCTAGCTCATTCCAAAGGACTGGTGTGGGGTAGTGGTGCCAAACAGACCGAGCGAAGCCCACTTGCCTTCTGTTAAGTACTCTTCTGACTTAGCTGATAGTCTTAAGTCTTTCCAAAGAAAGATTTAGCAGCTCCCCACTAAGTTGAGGAAAATAAACAAACCTCTTAACTGCACAGAGTTTTGTGCACAATTAATCATATCATACCCATGCTGGTGAAGGATTGGTTCATACCTATGCAACAGAGGCATGGATGAAGCTTTTATAAATCCACAGTTAAACACAAAGAACATCATGCAACCCAGTTTTTTATCTACAGAAGCTCGAGTGTATCAGGCATCTAGACAGCACCATGTCTCATAATGTGACAGAGCACAACTACCAACATAAATCTAACCTATAAGCAGTCCGAGGCTTTAGAGGTCCATCGCAGAATTTTTGCTGATCTGGTTCACACCTTCCTCCCAGATTTTCCATTTCTCCTCCAAGCTTAATGTCAAAGCTTTTATAGTCACTGTCAGGGTTTTCAGCACATCTACTGGCAAAATAATTTGTCTGGTAGATGCGTATAGAGTTGTTGTGTTTGTACTCCAGGTAGGAAGGTAATGGGTGCTGCTCATCAGGCTTTGGTCCTTCACTACCTACATCATGTGCAGAGAAAGACAGAAGGTTTGCATACCACAGCCATTAATGTGATGCAGTTTATAGGCTCAAGCTGTTGACAGACACATTCTTATCCAACTTCCTAGCATTTCTTGGAGGCTGCACAGGCTACCTTGTGAACACAAGTTACAGAGGTTAGGGTACCTTGTTTGTAGTACCAACCTTGCTATTATTTTTCTGGGGAACTTCAGACAGATTTCCTCAGAAGACTTTAGTGCAACTTTTCCAGATACAAAGCTGCAATAGGCATGCACAGGTTGAATTCGACACTATGACATTTTTTCCTGTGCTGTTGGTGGGAATCTCTGTGATCCAGATTCCTGGATCCTACCACCAGCTATTTCAAAAAGCAAGTAAAAAAAATCCACACAGTGACAAGTCCACTGTATAGAGAGAAAAGCTGCAATATGAAATGACAGGAATCCCTTGAATAGAAACTCATAATAATGCGTAAAAAACTCAGGTAGTCAAAGCCATGGCAATGAGTAGTCCATTTCTCAAAGAGCTCTATAGTCTGCACAGACATGACAGAGTAGAGAGTGGAAATACTAGCTCTGCTTTTCTTCCTAAGGGCTGATGGACAGAGAGATTAAGAAACTTTCTTAAGGGTCACAAAATATGTCCTGGCATGCCAGTAAATGAAGCCACTTCTAAAAACAAGGTATAAATTGTCAAGACATCCATCTGGTTTGTCACATGTAGGTCAACTGCAGAAAGGGAAGTTTACATGCATGCTGCAAGGGCAATTTCTATTCTGTTTTACAGTGCTGCGTGCAAAGTCATTTTCTTCAGTAAGCAAACACCACCTGGGAGATGCTACCTTTGCGTTCTTAGCATGGCTTACCAAAGTTCTCCAACAGAGTTGCCTTAGTGTTCCCACCTAACATTTAAACTTCCTTTTTGAGATCTGCACACAGATCTGCGCGCTTTCGTCTGTGTTCACTGCCAATGGCATCCAACGTAAGTCTCCTACTGTGGAAATTTCCTGAACACAGGTGAGAACGTAACCTAGAGTACAGAAGCTAACTACTGTTTCTGGCTGAGCTCTGCAGTTGCTACTGACTCTCTGAGGAGAAGACCGAGTTCCTAAGTCCCCAGGCTAGGCAGTAGGTATAGATCCTCTATGAAACTCAGCTACTAGATAAGGAGAAGCTCCTTTGCTGTGTACTGATAGGGGTGTAGCTCCCCATGTAACTCCTGTAGGCTATAGAGAGAATGGTATTAAATCATGACACTTACCATCAGCCTCTCTCACAACCACAGTAAAGTATTTCACAGCTCCATTAGTATCACTAAACCAGCTGCAGTTAAAAGTAAAGTTGATGGAGGATTTGGTAATCAGCACCTCTTTTTTATTCACTCGTATGTCTGGAGGTGGCTGAGGGGGACCTGCGTAATTAAAAAAAAAAAAAAGAAAAAAAGAAAAGAGAGGATATTCTTTCTACGTATTTGCTGTAAGCTAGACTAGTAAGGGAAATGCAGTTCATAATAAAGCTCAGCTGACTGGACCAAAGTCTCTGATTCTATTCTCTTTGCAATCAAGAAAGTGTCTTTACCTCCCACAGGGAAACTGCCAAAGGATGAAACAAGCCAGCAGTGAGTTAACCATAATAACAGTGGCAGCTCCTCAGTAGGAATTCCTGCAGAAGCCCATATGGAAATGCATTAAAGTCTTGCTAAATCTATGAAATCAGAAATAGTAGCTGCTAAAAATGACATAGGTTTAAGGCAGGCATTTGGAGGCCACTTAGCACAATCACTACAGGAAGTTACCTATTTTAAGCATCTAAATTTCTTCTTCCTTTTCCAGAGGGACAGCCCTGAGTCAGCCAGACACAGCATTCAACTACAGAGTACCATTTTCCAGACTGGCTGCAGAATTTCCATAGGAAATGTTCTTTGTATGATAGAAAGCTATACCTCAAACAGTGACACAGTAGAAGTAAACTGGAAAGCAAAGTATGCAGGGAAAAACTTTCAGAGGACCAGCGCAGTAAAAGTGGGGATTCTACATTGCTGAATCTTTTAAAAATCTGTATTACTGAAACTATATTGCATGTACGGGAAACGTATTAAATATGTAAGCAGGAGGCTAAACTTAAAAGGGTTTTAGATTGCAAAAAGAACCAATAATTCATGCATTTATAGGTTGTTTAGCTGAACCTCTTAGATCTACACAGCCTAGCTGCAATTTTTTATGTTTCCTTGTCATAGGGCCTCCAGAGTCAACCAGAGTCTGGGAGAGCCACAAGTGTTCAAAACAAGTAAGAATAAATGCGTAACAGCTGACTCAAATAGGACTCAGTCTATAAGTAGCTAGATTTTCCTACATCTGAATTTGTAGCATTCTTTGTGGTAGAGGAAGGAGATGACATGGTTGTAATTAAAAGGTAGGCTGATGACTGAACTCTGTAGCTTAGCTCACCAGCTCCCAAACCAAACATAATTTTTATGATCTAGCATTTCACACAAATGTAGCTTCAATAAGCAGCTACAGAGACATGCCTGAATACAGACCTCCAGGCCATCCTGTCATTTTTGAGAAGTTTAGTCCTGGTTCAGGCCTTTGCATTGTACTGTGCCACTGAATCCAGAGGTACTGCAAAAACTGGAGCAGCTCTAGGGCCAGTAATGGCAGGGTGTTGATTGCGGTGCTGCCTGGCGCTGCAGAGGCACCAGCAGATGACACTGCTACCCTCCACTCAGCAGCCTACGGGTGGGGAAATCGAAGCAGCTGTTCCAAAGCCACATGCTATGGAAATCTGTGATCATCCCTCAGGTATAACTCCTACAGGTGATTTGGTTAGGTAGCAACTCAGAAGAATGCATGGAGAGCCGAAAGAGGACCCAGTGCCACAATCCAATGTTCCTACTGATGGATGCTTGTGCTGAGGGCAAACAGCCAGGCACAGGAAGCCAAGAAGCAACCATGAAGACAACTGAAGGTGTGTGATGATAAGGACATCTTTGGCACTGAACATCAGAGTGACAGGATAATTTTTCATGTTTCTCAGGCTATATTTCATGGATGAGCCAAATAAGCAGGTTTGGCAACGTAATGAGAGGCAATACAGTTAAAATCCTGCATTGCCTGTCACAACAGGGACCAAAGGACAGGGTCACTTTATTTTGGCCACCAGATTACAAGTGCCACACACTGGCAATCTTGGAGTTCAGAACTCCTTTTGCTGTATAACCAACACAAGCAATTGCTTATTGCTGTTCACTGCTTCCCTTCACGGCAACTCTGAATTCCACTTACGGTCAATCATTGTGATGGTGCTGTCTTCAACTACTTCACTTGTCATGTCTGCAGAATGCACCTTGATGGACACCAGGTATCGCTTGTGGGGAACGAGGGTCATGATATTAAGCAGAGATTTGTCTTTTTCTATCCTTTTGGAAAATTCCACTTCACGATTGTCCAGTTTTTTGCATTCAATACTATACCCATCAAAGTCAGAATCGGGAGGAGTCCAGGAACAGGCAATGGCAGTAGAGGTCTGGGGCCGACAATGAAGACTTTGTATCTTGTCCGGTTCTAGAAGAATGTTGAGAAGTTGAAGCTCAGTGGGAAAAGGGACTGGCATCATACACTTTCTGATCACCCTATGGCCCCTAGATTCTGCACCAACTCTTTGGTCAAAGCAGGAGGCTGGGAGCCCGAATTCCCACCTCTCCTGCAAATGGGCACTGTCTCATTATTAGGCAAAGATGTCTAACTTGTTTTAGCCATCTGAAATCGGATCTAGTGACATCAGACTCCTCAGGTTCGTGAAGCTTCAGTAAGTAATTGTGAAAACAAGCAAAAAAACCTACTTGCCAAAGTCTTAACAAGAACAGCAACATTGGACAGCAATGGATTTCTAGAATTCTGTTACAACTTATTTGGAGGTCACATGGCTCAACAGTATCAGTCAATACCGATACTACCATCTCTTGACTGATCTGGTTTCCTGGGTAGCATGTGGTGTCCATATTACTAAAACATACCACAGAAGTATGCTTTTTCCCTGTAATACTGGAGCACCATTTATAACATGCAACACGTAACAAGGATGAGATTTCAATTTCAGATGGCAGACATCTATATTTAAGTGATTAAATACAGTCAAAAGGGGTAGCTATGCTCTCATTTTAATTAATATGCTGAATTAAATCTAAAGAGCTATTCGGCTTACTAAACATAGATGTCAATTTGGAGCTGAATCACACCCCAAATGACAGGAGGCTTTGCCAAGGCTCAGTTATTCTTACAATCCCAGGTCACTTTTCCAAATCTGCCTGCTACTGGGATTGCCAGAGACATCTAGGTATGATGTGGATCCTCAGGACACAGACAGAAATGCCAAGTAGTGAAACGTTCTGATTCCAGTTTCAAATCTAGTACACCAGGGTTTTATTCATCCTTCCCTGTTGTTCAGAAACATTTTGATTATTTCAATATCCTACTGTCAGAGAAGTTTGGATATTCAGCCTTATTTTACCCGTGAAACTGACTGATTCAGGCTCTGCAACCAAACAGCCCCACTCGGGATGTGAAGATTGCAAATGTATGTCCATTTTCAGTCTTTAAACAGTTGACCTTGCAGACAGCAAGGGCTTAGAGTCTAGCTAAATTCATTGCCAGTCATTCATGAATTTATTATTGGAAATTACTGACCACAAAAAGAATCGATAAGATTTAACAGTTTTGCACCTTCTCCAGCTGAGTGTTAGGGTGCAATGGAAATTGTTACTTACTCGTTCTCACACTTGCAGACTGTGACTGACTGTACGTCTTCCAGCTGTCGCCACTGACAGTTCTGACACTGAACTCATAGAGCCTTCCTGGTCGCAGCCCATAGATGATGCGTACTTTTGATTTGCTGCTGCTGTAGGGATTGAATACTGTGAGGGGATCCTTTGGAAGCCATTGCAACTCAAAATCGTCATAGTCTGTCCAGTCTGGAGGACCCAGCCAAGTGATTGATAAAGAAGTGTTTGCAACATCAGTAAACGATACAGTATTGGGAGGGCTGGGTGCTACACAGAAAGGGGAGAAAAGGGGAAAAAAAAAAAAAAAGATATTCTTAGCAAATTTTTACACAAGACAAGTAAGATGAAACATGCATTATTTTCTTCATGCAGCACAAAGTGCTTTATATTATCCCATGTACACAGACAGTTACTGCACCTGTGCTGATAGTTGTGACTTTCTCAGACATTACATATTCCTGAGCCTTTGAAAGAAAGACAGTGCTGAGCAAAATCACACTCCACTAGTTTAATATCCTTAAGGATATCCTATATCTTTACACCTTCAGTGGCTCTTACAATAAAGGATCCCTTAGAATAAGTCTGTTGCATAGTTGTGAACTAATACAAATTCCAAACAAAAATCCCAAAGCTTTTGTGTCTTTTTACCTGTTCTTCCTTCAGTATTTGCTGTGTTGGTCAGGTCACCACTGTGAGTCACCACAACCAGAGTGTACTTTCTGCCAGGAATGAGCCCCTGGAAATGCCACTCTTTCAGGTCTTTTCTGTGCCATGTTTTTTTCTGTGTCCCATTTGGGTTGTAAAGATTCAGCTCATAGAAGTCAACATCTCCTGCTGCTGGATCCCAGGTGAACCACAGACTGTCTGTCATGTTTCGGTTGGACGCCCTGAGACCAACAACTGGAGCTGGTACTGAAAAAAAAGGGATGAATATTACTTTATGTAGAGTATCCTTAGGGTGAGGAGAAGCAACAAGCAGACCTTACACTTACCATGTCATGACAGCCCTGCAATAAACTAGATAGCCACCACAGCTGGCCAAAAAGCCAGGAAACATCAGGAAGTATATCTCAATAGTTTAGTTTCTTATTTTGAACTGCCACTGTCCTCAAAAGAGGCTGACTTGTTTATAATAGATAGTTTTGCAAATATTAGGCAGCTTTTTCCCAGTCAGTGTCTGGAAACATTCAATTCTGAGGTAGCTGAAGAAAGTGCACCACTCTCCAGAGGCAGTCTTACAGAGGGATTACTATATGGTGCCTCAGAGGATAAAGAGAGGTTTCATAGTGTCAGGGCTGCCAGAGCTGCTAAGGAAACTCTGCTTCCCATGTGTGGCTGAACAAACATAGAGCTGCAGCCAGAGCTCCCCATGGGAAACAAGTTTTATTTCACTGGTAGATTGGTCTACTCCATTAACCTTACTTGCTTTGCCTTTTTGTCTTTTCCACTCATGGACCAATATTGCTTTTAGGATGGAAGACAGCTGTTTTTCTTTAAGGCTGAAGCAGCATACATTGAGATGTCCTTCTGACCTGAGTACCTGGGAACTACTGTAAAGTTCTTTGCTTCATTTTCCCTCTTGCAACCACATAATTCAGAATTTACCTTTTTATTTGTCTAATGCTTTTAATGTATAAGAGCCAATTTTTACATTTCTAATCTAGCATGAGCATTAGACTCAGACCAGCTCACTGGTGTCCCCTATGAGCACCGCACTGGCAAGAGATGGTTTTCTTAGATGTTCTTGCCTGTTCTTCCAAAGACAGATGACTCATTAGTGAGGTCTCCGCTGTGGGTAACAATCACCATTCGATACATCCTGCCTTGCCGCAGGTTCTGGAATGAACACTTCTGGAGGTGTTGCTCTCCTGAAATCCTGTCATGAAGGGACTTGTCTGGGTTGTATAGGAAGATGTCATATGAATCAAGCTCCCCTTGTGAGGTGGTCCAGCTGAAGGACAGTCGGTCAGTGGTGTTCTCTGTGACCTTCAGATTTGTGACAGCTGCTGGAACTGAGAAGAAGGATAAATGCAAGAGTAAATATCAAAGTGTCTAGCCACTAAGCTGAACCTTTAATAAAGTAACAACTTATGGCTGGAATATATTTCAATTAAGCCACAAGTAGCTAAGTAATGTCAACATCAACTTTCAGAAGCAAGGGGAAGGCATTTATGAGGTGCCACTGAGTCTCTCCAATACAATGTTTGTATTTCCCAGAAGGGCTGGTTCTCCAGCCTGTGCTCACACAGAACTGTCCATCAGTTTCTACAAGAAGCTTTAACTGAGTAAAGACTGCAAGACTTGGCTCTAGGTTTAGAGGTGTGTATTCACATCAAATCCTGTGCTAAGACCCTTCAGACTGTGAATTAAAAACCTGATGACAATAAAGCATTCAGGTAGTTCCATAACAGATAGACTGAGGGAAGCATTCAGCACTTCGGTTTAATATCCTTATTATGAACCACGGCCATATTATTATGTTAACAAATTTCAGATTCACATATCAAGCACTTATCAGGAAAAATGATGTATAAATACCTGGAGTCTGTTCCTACCAGAATCTTTTCAGAATCAAGATATACAGATGATTCATGTATTCAGTACTATCTGACTAAGGGAACTATAAATAAACTGAGATGTTCTAATTACCTGTTCGGCCAACAGTTTCTGCTCGTTTACTGAAGAGCCCACCACTGACTGTCAAAACTTGTATTTTATACTTCTTGCCGGCTAATAAATCTTCAAATTTGTGCTGTTTGGCAGTAGCTGGCTCCGATTTATTGCTCAGGAGGTTTCCTTGCTCGTTCAAGAGCAGAATGTCATATCTTTCAGCTACACCAGGAGCTTTCTGCCAGGTTACTAACAAGGAATGACTGCTGTAAGCATGATGGGCTAATAAATCCTGGACAGAGGCTGGAACTGGAAGCAACAATTAAAGGCAGGACATTACCAGGTGAAATACAGACCATTCAATACATGACTGTGAATAGAGTAATTAATAGAAAATATCTTTATATATTTGCATGTTCACATGCAGGAAAAGGAATGTCTGTCCATGTGTTTAACCAAGCAAATAATTCCTAGATATAAATACAAATAGATGAAGTTACCGAGCATTATGGACATCTGAACAGGGCATGGAAAAGCAATAGATATATATAAATTATAATGAAAAGAGGGAGAAGGAGAGTGAGATGAACTGACCGAAACAGTTGAGAAAGGCATGTGAAAAACAACTGAAAAATAAGGAAGTGGTAAATTGGTGCAAAATAGTGTCATAGAAAAGAAAACATTAGCCAGCAGCTGTTGCACAAAAGTCAAGGCCACAGTGAACACATGCAGGTATGAAGAGAGAGGCTGGATTAAAACAAGGTATTCCACTGTGTGTTCCAAGGTGCAGTATATTGGGGCAATACACTGTCTAACAAGCCTTGACCATTCAATGGGCTCTGCTAGAACGTAGTTATTTGACCACATGGGGCCCTGGAGATGTATGTGTCAGGTGGGCACAGGCACAGGACTGGGGAGGGTGGGAACTGCATTCCTCCTGTGAAGGCACACTTTGGGCTGGGGACTCAAATTCCACACACATTGACCCAGGGAAGGCTACTCGCATGACAGATCTCATGGGTATTAACAGAGGCATGCCTAAGTGTTTGCAAGAGTGAGGACTCATGCTCTTTGAGATAAAAACTTCTCAAGAGTCTGGGTCTCCCCATACCCAGCGGTACATTCATGAACAATATTAATTCAGGGTCAGCTTCTGGGAAGACACAAGGCATCTTGCTCCTTCTCTCAAAAGAAACGTACTTGTTCTCCCAAAAGCTGCTAAGCTGTTGTGCAAAGTCCCACTGTTAGATTGCACCACCACCCGGTACTGCTCCCCAGCTTCCAGCTTGTGAAACGTGTGCTCAGAGACATGTTTGGAGACACTCTGGGAATCAAGCTGATGGTTCTGCTGAAATATAGTCACTGTGTAGGAATCAACATCTCCACTTCCAGGAGTCCAGCTCACTTTCAGGCTATTTGTCATGCCGTCAGGTGACACATTAATGTTTCTGACCACACTTGGAACTGGAAAAAAGAGGGAACACAAAGGCACCTGCTCACAAATTTCTTGTTTGATTCAGACTTTTTAATTCCTACTTTTTTATGGCCACAGCAAATGATTCAAAGGACAAAGAGCATTTACAAGTACAAGTAATTTCACTCATGGGTAAACACAAATAAAGCTAAAGACATTTGTATAGGATTGAGCCATTTTAGAAAAGCAATTCTATGTGTTTACGGGAACAAAAGTAAAGAAAATGTAAGTTAAACAGAAAAAAGTTTCTATGCTCATTTATTTGGATAACCTCTCTTCTTCAAATGATACTTTAGAAACGTCTCAGAAAATCAAAGCTCTTTATGTACACTTAGCCATTTTGCAGTTATAATCTCAACCATTCATTTCAGGTGGGTAAACAGAAGTGTAAAATAGCTTAAGTGATTTAGCTAGAGATACTAAGCAAACAACTGGCATGCATGGGAATACAGAAACCCAAACACTGACATCTCAGTACCATTCCTATGCAACAAATCAGATTATCTGATTATAATCAAATATTGGTAACTGTGACATTTGTTTATTAAGCACAGATCAAGTTGGCTGAAGTACTAGTGTGACTTTCAGTGAGATTTGCTGTATTTGTGCCAGTGTTACAGGAGGTGAAATAAGACTATGGTTCATCCTTGATTTTTCTGTGCCTCATTCTTCCTCTAGAGAAGCCTCAACACATTTTAAATACCACAATATTTCTTACCTGTCAGGCCTTCTATGAAGGTAGCACGCTGTGCATCTCCACTGATGGTCAGGACAAGAATTTTGTACAGACGTCCTGGAGTCAAAGCTGTGAACCAATACTCCTCAATGGTGTTCCCAAGGAAAATGGGTGGGAAGATCTTCATATCATTGAAGAGGAGCTGAATTTCATATTTATCAACATCCCCTTCAGCCTTTGACCAAGTTACCTGTAGATCTTCTGTGCTCCTGTTACTGAGAGTCAGTTCTTTCACTGACTCTGGCACTGAAGAGGTGAGAATAAAGATAGGAAACTTCTCAGTACTTATTACCAGATATATGCATATATATTCTGGGTCATTTGATTAGAGTATGGTCTAGCATATCTTCTTCCTTATACATTTCCATGACCAGAAGAAACTATCTTGTACATTCTGGCATAGTTTAAGCATAAATACTAAGCCTATGTGGAAATCTGTACAACTGTTTTTCAGTTTTCCATGTTTCAAGATTTGCTTTCCAAGTTCACAGCACAGGTCTCTTCTCTCACTTTCTATATATCTGTAACTTAAACACTGGCTATAAACTAAATACTGCTTTCCATATTTGGAATGACACACATTCAAAGAGTCACACTCAATATTCTATGTTAAAATCATACAAGATTTTTGAGCCCAGGTATGGTAAACAGGAAAAAAAACCACTCTACATCATAACTGTATGATATTTTTGAGCCCAGCTATGGTAAATAGAAAAAAAATCCTGGAGTGTCTCAGGACGTTTCCAGGGTGTTTACTTACTTGTTCTGCCATAGACCCTTTCACTAGTTTCATATTTCCCACTCCTTGTGCTGACTGTGACACTGTACTGCCTCCCTGGGACCAGATTAGTGAACACACATTCATTTTTGTCCTTTGGGACACTTTTTGTTTGGATGAAATCATTGTTATTCTTGATGACCACTTCATAATTATCAAAATATCCAGAGGCGTGTAACCAGGACACCTTCAAGTAGTCACTTCTGGCTGAATTGCTGACAGTAAGCCCCTGAACACTTGAAGGGACTGAAAGAAAAAACACAGTTAAAGATTCAAAAAGCAGTAACTTCATGAAGTAACAGGAGTTGCTGTAGTGAATTGTATTTGTGGTAATTACCAGACTTTTCTGAGGAAGTTGCAAACAGATCACAATGTGGATTTAAGCAATACCCTACCCCCCTAAAATACTAACTTCAGTTTCCAGGCTGCTTTACATCATATAACAATGGTTTGCCTTTCCAGTTTTTGGTCTTTTGGAACTTGGTCAGTTTTGCTTATAGCAGTGAGTTCCACAGGTTCACACTAATCCTGAATTTGCTTCTCTTCATTTAAATGGCTGTCCCTAGGATTTTCACTTATATCATGAGAAGACTAAAACTGCATCAACTTGATACTCTTGTCATTTTAACACCCCTTACCATCTTTTATTCTACCAGTTTACCAAGTGTAAAATCTCAGTCTTTTCAATCTTTGAGGAAATTTTAAAAAGTTTTACATAATTTTCACCACCCTTCTCTGAAATGTCTCTGTTCCTGTTATAATCTTCTTGAACACTGCATGACCAAAACCACAGACATGGGTGTTACATGACCAAAACCAATAGACATGGGTATTGCTCTTTCAATATTTGAGTAACTTCTTGGGGGGATGCTCGGAAGGATATACTTGAAGAGTCAAGCAGAGGGTTTAAGGGCAGGAAAATGCATTTGAGACAAAACTGATATATTACTTCTGCCTACTCACAAGGACTGACACATGACTTTTATTCATGCTAAAGTAATTTTGTATAACATAAAGCAGCAGCAGGGGCCTAAGAATAAAACTAAGTCTGTAAAGCTGTAATTTTATGGTTCAACCCTCCAAATCCTACTCATCCATCCCAGTTTGATCAGATATTGACAAATCATTGACTATGACTAGATTTGCTCAGAGGCTTTCTTTACCTGTTCGTTCCTGGCTGAAGGAATAATTTTCATACTTCCCACTCTTTGTAGTTATCATCACATTGTAAAGTGTCCCAGGAGTAAGGCTGCTGAAGGAGCATTCACTGAAGGATTTGGAAATGGTGAGAGTCTGAATAATCTGGTCATCGTGAGACAGCGTTACCAAATAACTGTCCACATCTCCAGAAGCTGGCAGCCAAGAAACACTGAGGTAGTCACTGCGACCTGAGTTATTTACTGTTACTCCAGTCACGCTGGAAGGAACTGTGCAACAAAGAGGAAAAACCAGAAGAGCTTTAACTAGCCATTTCTTATTGTTGTGAGAATGCCACCCTGCAAAATAAGCAGTCTTGGACTCCTGAGAAGCTCTGTACTGATGCCCACTCAGCAGCACTCCTCTGCTTTTTTGAATACAGTGTCTTTGGTGGTACAATCCCAGCATTTCTAAAATCCCAGAAGATGACTTATCCTCTCCAATTGTCATCATTTGTAACAGCAGTAACTACTAAGGCTTGCACGAAGTTGAGGCCCATAGCAGAATGTATTTCATTTACAATGAGTTCTCTGACGCCTAGTGGTCAAAACATGAAAGCAATTTGTTTTTCAAGCCAACAAGGTGAGCTCAAAGGCTCCACATTGCCAGAAATACCACCACTCAGGTAAAAAACTATGAGAGTTATTACGGGGGCAGACCTTAATCATAATGAACCGCCACATTTTCACTGGGCTTTGATGCACTGAACTGACTTACCTCAGTAGAGGAGCTGGACATCAGCTGTCAGAGTCAAAAAAATTAGAAGATTTTACAAAATACGTTTAAGCACTTTAAGCCTTTTAGTGTTACTCTTCTTCAATGGGTTTTTTTTTTGTTTGTTTGTTTTCTTTTTTTTACCTGAAAATAGTTGTTTTCAAGGAGAACATTGGAGCAAACTGCAGAATATCTGGCCTTTGCCAAATTCACATAAAGGGTAAAACTGCACTCTGGTGTCAATTTTCCCCTCTATCTAAATATCCAAAGGACTGGTATTACATTTAATGAGTCATTAAACTTACAGAATTTGATGCAATAGTAAATCTTGTCCTATGCAGTATAAAAGGGCCTCATAAAGAGTAATTAACCCTGATGGACAGTCTTTAATGTTGGATTGGAGAAAAAGTATGAGTGGGTCATGAGAGACTGAGACACAAATTCATCCCACCACCTTTAGACAGCGAATTTTCACACCTAAGTAAGGAGCAATCACCCTACACTGCCCTCTAGTCAATGGAACAACTAAAGCATTTCCAAGGAGTGATCCACTCACCACAGCTGTATCACTCTCAGGGCACATTTTTGTCTTCACTACAGAGTGATCCTGCTGTGGGCAGAGCAGATAGCTCCCCAAAGCTACGTTAACATGAATCTGGACCCACAATGTGCCTGAGGTCACATACAGGAATTATATGTCTGAAACTCCTGTATTTCTGAATTCTCAGTGCAGTGGCTTAATCACAAGACTATTCTCTTTAATCAATTCACCTTTCAGGAACTGACAAAAGACATGCTGGAGTATTTTCCTTTTTACCTGTCCTTCCCTCTGCGATCATTTGCCTTGAAGATATCCCCCCACTGACAGTGGTGACAACAACTGAGTAAAGTCCTCCAGGTTTCAGGGAATAAAAGTGATATCTGTTGGTTTCACTGGGAACAGTCTCATTTTTAATGACAACATTCTCATGAATCAGTAGCACTTGGTATGAATCTACATCTCCCAGCGCTCTTGTCCAGTTGGTGAACAAGCTGTTGGTTGATCCCTGACTTGTCACAGTCAGACCAGTCACTTGGGGTGGCACTGCAAAGAAAATTGTCATAATGTTACTGAGGAGAAACAAAATAAAACAAAACAAAATCCCCCAAATACCCAAGTTTAGTCACACTGAGGAAGTGCATCAAAAGAACATTCCAAATTGCAGCCAGACTCAACAGGACTAAAAATAATCTAACTGTGGACTGCTTCCTGTCTGATGGGATGTAGTCTATGGGAAACTATCTGAGGCACAGAAAGGTCTTTCAAACTATAGCACAGCTTTTCTCAGTCAGACCAAAATGATTCAAGATCAGGGAACTGGAAGAGATGGCATTTTATAAATACCATCAAACAAAAGCCATCAATTTAGAAAATAACTTTTTTTTTTTTTATGACTATTTCAAATACAGTCTGCATCTTTCACTCTCCCTTCCCCTCCCATTCTCCATCTCTCATTCCTATTAAATGGCAAACTAGCTTGATGAACACCTCAGCCACAGTCATCTATACCTCAGAGAAGTGTCAGACCCTTTGATTTTGGGGGTAACTGAGATGGATGGTTTTGGTTTTACTTTTTATGTCAGAAGATCTGCAAGATACTAACTTTTCTAGCATCAAAAGATTATTTCATTGTTAAACAAACATAACATTTATCTAAATATAAGGTGGTGAATTTAGCCAGAACAAAAAGGAAAAATAAAGAACAAAAGGAATGGAATACCTATCACAAATTTTATCCATTTTTTTTTTATTTTATTTGACAATATTTGGTCAAAGTAAGGAAGTAACAGTTACTTCTTTCTAAGTATTTCTGCTTACATGACCAAGCAAAATTGAAATAACGAACACTGTGACTTTACAAAATGTGATTGCAAGCCTCATCTCTTGTTTTATATCAGCCTTTTTGTACACATAGTACTGGATTAGCAATTATTAACAAAAGCTAAAAAATTAGGCACATAGTCGAAAAAAATTTGATATTGATAAAAAATGGAACCGAACATCCCACTTGTTTTATAATGTTGTCATAACATAGTGTGCACCAACAAGACACTAAAATGCCACATTTCTGTGCTAAAGGCACTTCCAGTGACACCTCAGGCTTCACTAGAAGCTGACCGATCTGGGATGTATCTAAGACCTATTTCTATCATATTTACTGCAATATTTTGCAAGCCCCGTAAGCTGACCTACTGCAAAGAAGATTCAGAGGTCTGGCATGCTTATTAAGACCTATATTCAAATTCCTTGATATTCATTCTTTATTGCTTTGAATGTAATGCTGACACACTGATGTGTTTTCAAGCATTGATTCATACTACTGAAGTGGGACAATGCAACCTTTATGTCTGAATAGGCCTCCTAAAGGGGTGTAAGGCAGTAGGAAGTGAAATCCCAGATATCTAATCACATAGCAGAGAAATGAAAGTGTAAGTCAAACTCTTCAGGCCTTGGAAGGAGTTACAACATTTAAGTAAGGACCACTACCAGGCCATAGGCATGATTAGATTCATTCACTAGCAGCTTGTTTTTCCCCTGTGCTATGCCAGACCAGAGCTACGTTTTAAGACTTGCACTGGAGAATGCATAAGTCAAAGAGAGTAAAGCAAGATATACAATTTAAAACTTGCACACGTGCACAAAATTAGTACCCTGCAGGGGGTGGGAATGGGACCTTCCTTGTGTCACAGTCATCATCCTAAGTAACAGATATAGATTCTGGAATCAAAAGAGCAGAGATTCAAAAGACATTTTCAAGGTCACATATGTTTTGTGTCTGTCAACCTTGGAATGCTTCCCCTAAAGCAACATTTTCCTGTGTGGTAGTGGTTTTTTTTTCCAGATGATGAATGCTTTGAATCAAGGAAGTGACCTTCCTGAAGATACCCAGTGAAAATTGTTCTTCTTATATGGAATCTTGTGTAGATATGGATCTAACGTAGATCGATCAGACATGACATAATATTTCAGAAAACTCTTTTGCCAGGAATTACATATCCATTTCCCCAAAACCTTAAATAAATACTGCATGATAAAAGACAGTCAGAAATGAGAGACTAAGAAACATAACTTTTCTATTCAGGAAGCAACCATCAATTTAAGACTTTTGAGAATTACACACTGAGTTCATTCAGTTCACTACAAAGCAAAACAAAGTTGCTAGTGGTTAACAGAAGTAAATGTTAAAATAGTTTGACAGGATGATACCTGTTCTTCCTTCCACTGAAGTCCAGTTGCTTAAAATCCCACTAATGGTAGTGATGGTGGCTGTATATTTTCTTCCAGGTACCAAGTCAGTGAAAGTGAATTCCTTAGCTTCTTTTGCAAGCCCTTTTTTTATCACAGTAAGATCCCTGTCTCCCAGTGAAACCACATAGCTGTCCCATTCTGCAACAGGGGTCATCCACATGACACTAAGTGAAGATTCATTAGCATGCTTCACACGGAGCTGGAGAACAGGCTCTGGAGCTGTAAAGCACACAAATATCACAAGCAGAACAGGACTTTGTAGTGAATGCATCTCAAGATGCTATAAGGAATCTGTTCTATAAGACAGAAATGTGACAGCAGAGTACTTGTTATCAAGAAGAGATTCTTTACCTTTCTCTAGGAACCCAGTCTTACAAATCTACTATTTGTGCTACTTTTCCAGTAAAGGGCTGTAGCAGCAGACTTCAGCAATGCATTATGAATGTAATGCTTAGGTTGAAACTTATGTCAGGATATATAATTTAGCATGAATGTGTGTTGGGTTTGGGGGGGAGGGGGGCATTTTTGCTAGTGGGGGAAGGGGC